AGGCGCATCCTAAGCGTGAGCTTTTCATCAAGAAGAAGATTGACATGTTTAATGAAATCGCATTAGACATTGGAAAAGATATGGCAACAGGGAGCTTCACCAAATCATTTACTAATATAGATTTTTAAACTAATACTGAAACTAATGCAATGCTTGTAGACTTGGACAAGGATGTTGATAAAGAGGTGCGAGGAAGGCAATCATCTTCATTAATAGAAACTTCACTACCACAATCTGGATGCAAAAGATCGTGCAAACATTCTTTCGAAGATGACAGCATATTATTCATGTTAGAAAATTTGGAAGAGATTGCATCTATTATCAAAAGGCTAATTGAAGATAAAATTGATGATAGTCTTCTTTATGCTCAAGTGATGAGCATGGATGGATATGATGAGCAATTTCTTATCTCTGCATTTGATTACTTAATGGAGCATGAGAAGCAAGCAAAGGCATTCATGGTTAGAAGCGACAATCTAAAAGGAGCTAAGCTAGACAATTTCATGTTTCATGAGGCTAATGCTTAGATTTTATGATTTGTAGGATGTATGTTAGATATTTATAGGATGTTTAATTATATATGTAGGAACCATAATGTAGGATCATTAACTATATTCCTAGTAGGTTTTATGAAGGATGATTAATCATATTACTAGTAAGTTTATGTAGAATGATTAATTATATTATTAGTAGGTTTTATTATTTTGGATAATATTTGAAAGATGTTTGTTGCATATTTTTCGGATGTTTTTAATTATATATCCAATATGAATTTGTAGGATGATTAATGATATGTTTTATTGTTAATGTAGAATGTTTTTATTATCTAAGATTATTAATTTTGATTGATGCATAGATTTTTAAGTATTTTATTATTATAGCATATTTTTGAATGTTCAAATTAAATTTTAGATGTTATATTAATGAATATTAATATTTTTAGACTTCTAAAGATGTTAGAGAATTGGTATTTATATAATTTTATAATTTTATTGATCGAGAAAAATATTTTCAGAGAGATGATCCAAACAAGAAAAAATATTTTTTAAGAGATTATCCAAATAGCAGAAAATATTAAATTTTCCTGTAAAATATTTTACACAAAAAAAATTTTTCCTCAGTAACTTATTTTACGGTTAACAAACAAACCCTAAGTTATTTATGCATCTCATTATTTATCTATTAAATTTTAATAGGTAATTTATTGATTTTTTTACCCTAAAAATACATCTAAAATTTATTAAATTTTAGTTTTTTTATGAAAATATAATTATTAAACATTAATTGAATTAAAATTATAATTATGAACCACAAACTTGATCATCATGTACATGTGTCAATATGTTAAGCATAACAATCAAATTAAATATTTGTTCAATTATAAATTTATTTCAGCAAAAAATAAATATTTCATATTTGTTGCAATTATTGTTATCTAAAATTCAAGCTAAAGGAAAATATAGATGAAGAATGCATAGTATTGTTATCAGTTTTAACACTTTAAAATTACAAAGTCATCAAATTACCTATGACTACGAATACTATATTTAACAGTAGAGTGTTTTTTTTATTTTTTTATTTTTAAGAAAAAGAACGCTAGACTAATTTTTAAAATAGGGGCTTGATGAATGTGCTTAAGTAAGAAAAATAACAGCACAAGGATAGCTTCATTATTTTCCCAACGCGAGGCAAAATAATGATCGGCCGTATAGCACGGAACGCTGTGGCCCAGATCTCTGGTCGCCCACGTGGTTGAGGGCTCTGACGGATCAATTTGTCCTGGACTCTTTTTCGGCTGTCAAATTTCCCCCACCTCCGCTTGGACACAGGAAACCAAGTTTTGGCTGGTGCTTTGATATTTTCTATCCCTTCCTCGCCACAAAGTCAATAGTCAATCACTGCTATGACTCATTATCCACTTTGAAGGAAAAAATAGAAAAAAAAAACATAAATAATTCTTGGAAAGGAAAGGAAGACATTGGCATGGAATGGGATTTCATGGCGGTCGCCAGTAGTAAAGGAGAAAAGAGAGGTTTGATTTCAAGGAGAGAAGCTAACTCCATGTTTGGTTGAGAGAATAACTAAAATGATTCTATTCTTAAAAGAATATTTGTTTTTTTGTTTGGTTGTCAAATGTTCTAAAAAATAACTATCCATCTAAAATAATTATTTCTCAAAATCAACTAAAATCAAGAAATAATTAATGCCAATTTCCCTATGATATTAACTATTCCATAATTGATGAATAATATTAAAAAATAATACAAAATCAAAACGCTCATTACGAGTTTAAAAATTTACAGCCTTATATAAAAACATTCTTTTTTTTTCTCTCTCCTCCCATTTTCCCCTTGTCCTTTCTCTCTAATTTTTAATTGTATATTGTAAAAATCATATTTTAAATTTAAAAAATAATTAAAATTATTAATATTTAATTATAATATCATTTAAATTATAAATATAATATTAATATTTTAAATTATTAATGATTAAATTACAAATTAATATTAATATATAAATTATCAATTATTAATATTTAAAAAATAAAATAAAATAAAATTTTAATTATATATTATAAAAAATAATAGTTTAAATTTAAAAATTAATTAAAATTAGTAATATTTTAATCATAATAACATTTAAATATAAATAAAATATTAATTTTTTAAAATGTTAATATAAATTATAAATAAAGTATTAACATTTTAATTATCAATTATTAATATTTTAATTTAAACATAAATTATTAATATTTAAAAATAAAATAAAATAATAAATTTTGATTATATATTACAAAAATGAAATTATTTAAAATTATTAATATTTTAATCATAATAAATTTAAATTATAAATAAATATTAATACCCTAAATTTAAATAATTAAATAATGAATAAAATATTAATATTTAAATTATCAATTATTAATGTTTTAAATTAATTATAAATTATTAATATTTAAAAAATAAAATAAAATAAAAATTCAAATTCATATTATAATAAAAGGTATTTTATCTTTTTATCTTCTATTCCTTTATTATTCCAAAATTAGTTTTACCAATCAAACATCAAAACGAGTTATAATAACAATTTTTACTTTATTTCATTCCATAAATCAAATTAAATAATTCTTTCTTTATTTTATTTTTACAAAATAATTATTTTATTTAGTTTCGTGAACCCAAACATGCATGACTAAAGAAAAAGAGTAAAAAGAAAAATGTGTCACGCATCTTCAAAGGACGTCGTAACAATAACGTTTTAAGATAACAGTAATATAAGCTTATAGAATCAGGAGTGCATTGGGAACTAGGTATAAGAGTAAAAGGACGTTGTTTTTAGAAAGTAGGAGGTTAAGCTTCTAGAATTGGAAAGATGAGTACAGCAGGCTGTGCTTAGTTTGATTACTTCTTAAAGAGTTAGTGGCAGAGTGAGGATTTCATATTTGGAGGCAAAAAGTCAATGACAATATTAAGCAACTTAGATGAAAAAATTCATATAAAAATTATACAAATAAATTCTAAAAATCATTCAAAAAATAATCTTAATAATCTATAGGATTAACTAGTATAATCATAAATATTTTAATAATGATAATAATCTCAATTTCTAGATAAACTTAACAACAAATAAAACTTAACAAATATAATAACAAAAATCTTAATAGAAAACAATCCATTAGAAAATATTAAAGGCTATCAATAAATAATTAAAGAGAAAGCAATTTGTTAATATTAATTGCAAAAATTAAATACAATATCTTTAAACAATTTAATGAGGAAGCAATCTCGAATAAAAAATTTAATTGTTCACAAGAATCCAAACAAATTAAAAGAACATCAATAATTTGTAAGAAAGCAATCAAACAATCCATAAATAAATAAGTAATAACTAACATTAAGTGCTTACTCAAATTCTTAATTTGTGGCCTTCAACAAAAATTACTAAAACGGTAAATCTTAAATCAAAGTCACCAAGTAAAAATTATTAAATAAGAAAAAAATTAAAAATAAAAATTAATAAAAATAAAATAAATAAATAAATAAACCAAACTTACTAATTATCATGAAATAAAAATTGAATGCTGACAAGTCAAAA